GAAAAGCGATCACAAAAGCTCACCCTGTCACTTTGTGACAGGTGAGCTAAAAAGACAATCTATCTATTTATATGCTATTTTGTATATTATATATGTTACATATTAGTGTGACAATCAAATCTAGATTTAAATCAATTGTTAGTAAATCAATGTATGAAGTGGTTACAAATTTTAGTTTGCTACCTTGATTGTTTGATATACATATATAACCTGTTTCTGTATAAATGTAACCAAACAGAATGATTACCTCATTCTGTTGTATATCTCCTTGTCCTAGGTGAATCTGATTCTTGTCATTCTTATTAACCATAACTACACTTATTAAACTTAAACACCTTAACATCTTAAACCAAACTATATCTCCAAAATTGCTTTAACAGGAAGTAGTCTCCTCTGTAATTTACACTATTTCCAAGCTTCTAGTTGACCATTCAAACTGGACAGGTACATCATTAGGTAAAACAGGGTTAATCCAAAAATCAAAGCAGTTATCATTTTATATAACATTCATTGAATGTAAAAAACCACATCAAATAGCTAATAGATAAGTAGATTTAAAAAATCATGAATTTAATAAAGAAGAAAAATTGCAATGTCCTAGACATATTCTGCATATCATTCAACTTTGTAATGTTACCTCTCCCCAAAATAATCACATGGAACAGTCTGATTTGTAGGAATGACCAGGGAGTAAATTAGTCATGCACATTATGGTGGGAGAACAAAGGTGGCCAGTTTTATCAGATCTTTGATCTGCGTGGTGTAATATCTAAGTGGGTGTCCTAAGTGTATGCAATTATCAGGCATATTGGTTCCTTGATTTGAAATAGATAAAAATGACAGTTGCATGAGCTTGAGTAAAAAAAAAAGTACTGTAATAAGTACAATAGGTTGAAAACATATACATTTCAATGTTTGTAAATGCAAAAAAAAACTAGAGTAGAATAATGCTTTTGGTAACTTTTATGTGAATTGTTTTTGTTTTGAAATGGAATGACAGAATTTCATTTCTTTCCATGGTCCACACAGAAATCACTGATTCCATGCCAATTCTGTCCCTATTCCGCTCAGAATCTGTGCCAAAATTATGTGCAGGTTATATACAATCATGTATATTTGATTTTCCCTATTACAATATCTTATTAAATGAAAAAAAATTAATTTCCTTGCTATGTTCAAAAATCAATTAGCAATTTTTTCTTAATTGTTTGTGATTAAGGTCTAAGATTATAGAATTTTAAATTCTGAGTATTTTGATACCCATTGTGTTAAAGAAAACTATTACAAACCGACTTCAATATATTTTATCAATTTTTCTCATTTTTTATACTTAGCATTTTTTTCACCTTTGCTCAGTAATAAAAAGTCTCACAAAAGTTATTTCATTTATTCCTCTGTCTAAAGAACAGGAATTAACAAGACTTTTTACTTTTCACTTTACAGAAAGGCCTTCTAATAAAATATCTTTCTTGTCTTTGACTAAAGGACTTCACTATAAATGAAGTCCTGATAATTCCTATCCTCAGGACATATTTGAAAATAAAAGTCCTGAGATTTCCTGTTTTTTCCTGTTGGTAAGATTAAAGTCCTGACAATTCCTGTTTTGTCCTGTTTAGTATGTTCAAAAGTCTTGAGATATCCTATAAACAGGACTTGTTAAGAGGTAGCAAACAAATCCTGGGATAATCCTGGGATTTCCTGGGACTTCCTGAGAACAGGAAATATTTTCTGCACGGGAAGGCCTTTATGCTTATGGCGGAATTTGTTTCCCCAGATAAAACAATAAGTTCTATTTTTAATATGTCTCTGTTATTCTAGTCATGTTTTAAATGTACTGTAGTATACTTTGTTTATGGCTTTAATAAAAGCCCTTTTACAACACAAATCTATCTTTGGTTGTTTATTGTTTTAAAAGCTACGCAAACTCCCGAATCTATGTAACTGAACCACCTAGCATCCATAAATATATTTTATTATCATAAAATGATTTATGGCCGAGGTGGTTCATAAAAATTTGGCGGAAGCACCTTGCTCTTTGTGTTATAGTAATTACGGTTTAGGGTATTTACAGTGCAGCCGTACTCTTTATGTATAGTATTTACAGCTTAGAATATTTACAGTAAGCTATCAGCGTAACTCATGTCTATATTTGGATATAGTTGCACGTGCGCACTGACTCTTTTCGTTGAACAAAGAAACAAAGCGCGTGGCTTTCATTCCTGTACAAATTTTGGTAGTTTCACATGAAAATTTAGTTTTCCACCACCTCTCTTTCCTCCTCCACAATTATTTTCTTTGAAGAGCTCCTAAAATTTTGACTCCTCGTGACAATTTTTTCATTTTTACTTTTTTTAAAATTGTACAATTTACTGTTCTTTTACAACGAGATACACATTAAAACACATTTATACACATTTGTATGTATTCAGATGTTTTCATATTTCAGGATGGAATTTGTTCATATTTCTGTTTGTTTATCTCTATTATGATAATTATGTTTTAATGTTTGTTGTACGGCGGAATTTGTTTCCCCAGATAAAACAATAACTTATATTTTTAATATGTCTCTGTTATTCTAGTCAAGTTTTAAATGTACTGCAGTATACTTTGTTTACGGTTTTAATAAAAGCCCTTTTACAACACAAATCTATCTTGAGTTGTTTATTTATTGTTTTACAAGCAACGCAAACTCCCGAATCTATGTAACCGAACCACCTGCCACCCATAATTTTATTTATCTTTTATTCATTAAAGTAATTTCTCTCTAAATTTCTTCTGTTTACGGTATAGCATTTCAGATTCACTTTTAAAGTGTAAGATTGGTCCTCTTAAATTTTTGGTCATTTCAAGATTAATGATTTAATGTTACGCTTTTATGGTTTTTCTTATTTATTGATAATGTTTTCTTAAGTAATTGTTTAATTTGAAACTACCCCTATTTCCTTTATTTTCTAGCATGAGATTTTTAGTGAGTTCACTTTTTGTTAGACTATATAAGAAAGATTTTGACCTTCTCAATTGCTTTTGCCTCAAGGACGCCAAGGTAGCTTTTACCTAGTCAACGAGATAAGCCACAATTTTTGCCAATGTAGGGTTATTTTTTCATTTTTGAATAAGTAATCTATTTTTATTATATTTTCTCAGGAGTGTTTTTCTTTTTAGTTAAATTAGAAACTTAAATAACTTAACTTTGCTTTCATTTTAAACTCTGTAAATCATGACTAAAAGTTATAGATGATAGTAGATTTTGAAATAAACTAGAATCACTATATTTGAGAAATGTAATTTAATAAAAGTCATATAAATTGTGAATGATCTTTGTTTGAATTGAAACCTTAGAGTTTATAATTAACCTGGGCTTGCAAGGTTAGTAAACCTGCTACAATGTGTCTTTATGTAAGTTTAAGTACCCACTAATGGGATTAATCCTCAAGTTAAAGGAATTAAATTTTAGCTTATTTATATACATTATTTTAATTTAGCGAAATAGAAGGCAACTGACTTGGCAGCAGATGCCAAGAAGCAGGTGAAAGAAGGAAAAGATATCACCACTGTGATCAAATCATTACATGATAACATAAAAGGGGCGAAAAGAGACAGCTCAAGCAAGATGGCTGAAGCAATCAAAGCCCTGCAGCCAAGTCCAAGGAAGACCTGTACTGAAGGAATTTCTTTCAAAGGAAAAAAGAAATGTGGAGGTGACCTGCATGAACATGAAAACAGGAAAAAGAAAATCTCAAAAGCTACACCTGATCTCAAACAGTCTGTGAATCAAGTCATTCCTGCTCAAAAGTTGGCAGAAATAGCAAAACTGTTAGGTGGTGAAACAATTGAGTCACAACCCTCTCAACCGTCAATGCAAGATGTTAAATGTATGTCATTAACACCAAAGAAAGATCATGTCTCCTATGTAAAATAAGGGCAACCCCTCCACAAAAACATAAAGATAGACAATCCCCTAAAACTTCAACACATCGACAGACTACTTCTAAGAACTTATCAACCCCTAACAAAGTAAGGAAATCTCCAACAGAAATTTCTACAGCTCAACATATGAGGCAATAACACCTATAAAGCCCAAAACCAATGGGATGGAACATTTGTAGGCTCCATGAATGTTCTTATCGATTTGGAACAGCCAGATCAATCATTTCAACAAGAAATACATCAAAGCCAAAATCAAAACATGAATTCTTCTGTATATGAAGATAGAACATTAACATTCTCACAGACCCAACAATCGACACACATGCATGGTATGGTTGTTGCAGAACATTCCATTGGGCAAAAATCTAGGAAGGAAATCTTGTGTGAATGTGAGTTAATTTTTTTGTTTAAAATAATTATTGACAGATCTTTTCAAGTAGCAAAGCCACACCTTTGAAAATCTTAGATTTAAAGAAATTTTGAGCAGCTAAAGATTTCATTACTTTCCGTAATCTGCTGATTTACGTAAGTTGTGAAACCTAAATAATTTTATGTTTGATTTTTGTATACATGTACTGTTGCATCTATAACTGTAATTAAATTTGAAATATGCAATGGCTCATCTCTCAAATATCATGACACTCCAATATTTTTTTAACCAGTGTTGAGAATATCACATGAGGAAGCCTCAGTTGCAAGTAATGTTCTTAGAAGCATGGCAGACATTTTGTTTGAAGGAGAATCAAACAGCCAACAGAGTCAAAACATGTTTTGTCAACAAATGGATGGACAGAGCAACTTGTCGTTCACCTTCAAGGTAAATTTCAGCATTAGACATGTGTATACAAAATAACTTAATTCTTGCATTGCCTCTTTCAGCAATCTTGAAACTAGAACTGCCACTATCATGGCGTGAATACCCCCGCATACCACTTTGTCAGAATCAACAGTGGCCATTTAGAGCTCAAGGACAACCTCCCTGCCAAATCTGAGCTTACTAAGCCAGGGCATTGCTAAGTTATGTATTCTGCATGCTTCAAATGTGAAAATGTCAAAATCAATACATTGCAGCCCCTGTGAAATGTGAACCTTGAATCAAGTTTGACCATGGTTAAACATGGTCAAAACATGGTTGTCTATGTTGTTCGTTCAGACTTTGACTCTGGTCGATTATAACCATGATTGACCATGATTTGACTATGGTCTGACTGTGGTAAATGACCATGTTTTCCAGACCATGAAACAAGGTCAATCTTAAACAGTAGAAACACATTTGGTAATAAATGTTGCATTGCACAAATAGTGTCTGTTTCTTACTTAAAATACAACAATTTGAAACTCTAAGCAGTTTAGCATGCAACACCGTGAGTACGGTGTACACCTTATGTATTGTCCATGACTGACTATGATTCATGATCAAGAGTCTTTGTTTGAATATGATTCATGGTCAACAGTAATTACTAGACCCTGAATCACAGTCAAGCATAAATATTTCACATACTTAATATAAACAATGCATTATACAATTTATGTTGTTTTTTTTAACTTTAAAATAGAAATGAATACATAATACTGACATCAGATTTCGTTTTTTCCTGAATTATGTATTGTCCTTGACCGGCTATGATTGATGGTCAGGAGTCATGAATCATGGGCAAACAAAGACATAAAACAACATGTTTAATGTCTTTGTTTGCCCATGATTCATGGTCAACAATAATCTTTAAAATTATTATTTAAAGTGGAAGTGACTTACAACAGGGCTTAGCTTCCAGTCATGACCAATATACAGTCAAACCTGTATTGAGCGGCCACTTAAAAAGTAGGACTGTGTGGTAATTTAAGACAGGTTGTCACTTAAAGCAGAATGAAAGTAATACAGAAAGCTCTCAAAGAGCTTTCTGCATTACTTTTGTTTTGCATTAAGTGACCACCTGTCCAAAATAGTTGTCATGATACCTTTTTCAATGACCGCTCTAGAAAGGTTTGACTGTACACGTTTGTATCAAGTTTAAAGACCTAAAGCTTACGAGTAATTAAAGTACATGTAACTTCTGAAACCAAGTAAAACAATTACAATTGGCACAAAGTTACATTTGTATAGCAGACAAAAATCAGACTGTGCAATTACCACAGTTCATAAAACATTGTCTTCTTCACAGTAATGAATAGTCATTTAAAAACACCATGACCATACTGGTTTGGCATCTTTGCTATTACACACAATCTCTCGTCAGGTGTGATATAAAAAAGTTTCTCCTTTATTGTGTCCACTTCAAAAATGTCAACATCCAAAGTTGGTTTTACTACAAGCAGATGATGACCAGCAACCTGGCAAACATGTTGTGGCTCTTGCACCTCAAGCGCATGTCCAACAGCATATACAATACCAGAAACTTCATTTAAAAGGAAATATTCTACACTGTAAGAATTATTATTACTGCAAAGAACAACATAACAGATTCTCTTATTCATCCTTGAATATTCCTTGGAATACAGGTATTGACTACGGACTTTAACTCTTTTCACTTTCTTTAAATCTTTCACAGATACAGCTTGAGTTCTATTTAAGATAAACTCTCTGTCCGGATTTTCAAATTCACAAGATGTTACAGCACCACTAATGTAGCAATTTTTAAATTTTTTTAAATTTTGCCATCGCTTTCTCCATTTCGGAACCATTCGTGATAGAAAATGCATTTCTGGACCTTCTACATAACTAGGAATATCCAAGCTCCAAATTCTGAACTGAGCATGCTTCATCTTTAGTACTGGCTTTAGTACATTTCCTGTACCATGAGCTGTGTTCAGCAAATCTGCATTAGAATCCTCAAATCCAAAACAACTCCATCCAAATAATGGACCCCAAAGTCTGACATAATACACTAAATGGCTGCCAATATTGTGAACATTCAATCCACACGAACCTTGCCCATACAACTGACAAAAATCTTCATAAAACCTTTCTAGAAGTGTTTCTGCCCTATCTAAATCTAACTGTGATATTTTGTCTTGAAGCAAAATGTGAATTCCTTCTGATAAACATGAAAAATGTTCCAAATAAACATCTGGCAGGTAACCTTTCAAACATGGAAGTGCGTAGTACAGAAGCCAGGTTTGTAATTCTGTTGCTTTGAAGTGAGTATAATTTTTTTCTAGATTCATGGGAATTCTTTCTATGTAATCAGGTGGTTGAATTTTACCCATACGTTTTGAGATTTTGTTCAAGTGTTTTCCTATGAAAAAAGGCTTTCCACTTTGTGTGGAGGAGAACCATTTACTCATCAAAGTTTTTGTGACGCCCAGTAATACTCCATGCATATAATCCGGAACGGCACCTTGAACCATATCAAAATATTCAAGTGCCATAAGTCCAGAATGGCCACATATCCCCATTATTCTCTCCTTTCTAGAAGCCTGAACTCCTTTTACATACTTCAGGTCATCGGATTCTCTCATTGGAGGTTTTTCTATTCTTGGTCTATATGGGTAACAATGGCTATATCCTTTTCCGTGTTTCACATTTAAACCTCTTTCTTCACATGTTATGCAACCATAATCCCCATTGTGCATAGTCATATTGGCAACATATGCTTTTGCTTGGAGGTCCACAGAAGCCAATAATACTGTCAGCCGCACATTTACTGTAGTGAACAGACCTGGTGGTTGAACAGAGATTCCATCACTGTGTAGCTTAGACACTGCATCACCGAAAGCTGCTATATACTGAAAAAATGGTGGCTTATCCTTTCCTTGCCAGAGACCTGCTAGAATTGTATTTTCTCGTGCAAATCTCTGCGCTGGTGGCAACTCATTGATACAGATGAAAATTGGCCAAAGTTTTACCTTACTCGAGTTAAACAAAGGTACACCATCAGTATTGAAAATGGCACTTACAGCATTTTCACTATGGAGACATCCTCCAGGCTGACAGTGCTTTAAGTAAGCTTCTCCATCTATAATATCAGTAATGTGTGAAGGAGTCTCATTAACATTTATAGATTGTTTAGTTCTCTGTATCTCATCCCAGATATTATTTCTTTCTATCAGACTACACAGCTGACTTTCCACATCAGCAATGATAAAAAAACATCTAGCCTGCCTGTTTGACATTGTCTGACTTGATATTGGGCCAATGTATCTCAATCCAGGACAATCACCTATTGAGCACCGGAAATCATCAGGATCATCTGGAAATCTTTTGTTACAAAAACAACAGTAGTGGATTACTTCAGGTTCGTTTTTACTAATGCTGCTGAACATCTCCTCATATTTAAGCTTTCTGAAGTATTGACTTTCAGGACACAAGGTCTGTAATAGTTGTAAAAGGTCCTTCCCAGCAGAAGCTGACAGATTGTATTTTAGTATGTATGACACGAGACAAAAGGCTTGTGACTCGTGCACGGATAATGTCTTCATACTGACATCATCAGTCTCTGCATGTTCACCTTCTGTCTCAAAATCATCCAACTCTGAAAAATCAGACCCAGACAAGTTTGCATCACACTCACTGCTTGTTTCATTCAAGCTATCATGATCAGAATAGGAGTCTGAGTCACTACTGCTAAGAAATTCATCCCCATAAACTGTTTCAGACAGAGCTTCTGTACTACATGGAGAGTTTGTTAAGTCATATTCCACACCCTCCAAAAGTTTACATTCCTCGGAAAATTTACTTTCACATGTAACTGAGCTTTCTGGTGTAAATGAGCTTTCTGTAACTGAGCTTTCTGGTGTAACTGAGCTTTCTGGTGTGTTTGTCAATGGCTGTTTAACATCTTTCTTCCACCTACGAAGTGTTCTCTTTGGTACTGGAACAGAATCATCTTCACGATATCTTTTACGTTCCTTTACTGGACCTGAAAAAAAATGTATCATATAAATTCTGGTGTACAAGTTTATATCATAAGATTACGAAAAATGATCACTAAAAGGAAGACAAAGAGAACTGTAAGGCAGGTGGCAGCTTAACTCTTTGCACACTAGCAGCAGATTTTCCACCCATTGATTCCCTATGCAAACAGTCTGGATCCAAATCAGGCCCTACATGATTGTGGGACTTGATCTAAGATCCAAACTGTTTGACACTCAGTGTAAAAATTAGAATATTTTTTTTTATTTTTCATCTGCTGAATGTCATCTGCATTGGTTTTTTTAATGCAGACAATTCAGCTGACGAATATAACATAGCATGCAAAAAGTTCAAGCAAGCCAAAAATTGCAGAACACTGCAAGCCTGTCTTACAGACATTCTTTTTGCCTTCCTCCGAGTTGTCGTTTTAGTGAGAATTGATGACTGGGATAATAAATATTGAAGGGGGGGGGGGGTGTAATATCATAATCAGGATAAAATTGCCGAATATCTCATCTTTCAAATCATTAATCCTTTTACCTTGTTTATGCTAGACTCCACTATGAATTAAGATTAACTGAATTCTTTTACAGACACATTAAAATGTTGCTGCAGTAAATAGAACAGATCTAGCTCTATAACATTCTATTACTCAATTGAGTAGACCCAGATCAGAGAGCTCCGTCAGCAACTGCTTGATCTGGGTCTACTGTAACTCTATTTGCAAACACATAAACAGCTGTATGCTAGCCCAGACAGACAGACGGATGGAAAGCGCATAATCAATAAATCTCCCCCATACGGGGGAGACATAATAAGGCTATTCAAGAGTCAATACTTACTTCTGTTGTGAATGCTGACTAGATGAGACTGAATTCTTTGCTTTCTTGACAGGGACCTCCCACACAACAAACACACATAAACTTCGACACCATCAAGACTTTGCTGTTCATAGCATTCAGATAATGCTTCCATCATGGAAAGTGATGCCCTAAAAACAATGATTTTACACTGAGTACAAAAAGTTTGTTTGTTTGTTTGTGTCATTTTACGCCTTTTTCCAACAGTATTTCAGTCATATAGACGGGTAGTTTCCTAACCATCGTTCCTGGAGAGTTACACCAGTACTTGACTACCTTCCTCCGCGCTAAACTACCAAAGCATCTCCCGGGGATCGAACCCACGCCAGAGAGGTAACTGGATTAGAAGTCATCGACTCTAACCACTCGACCACGGAGGCGGTGAGTACAAAAAGAAATGCATATGGTGAAATTCTGTAATTTACATTCAAGGGCACCTGCTGTCAAATAGGCTGGCAATTGAATACTTGTGTATATTTTATTTATACTATTGCGTTAACACATCATTTAATGTGTAATGTAATGAACGATAAGCGTTTCTGTTTGTACTGAGTTTAGATATTATATAATCCCTATCCCAGCAAGAACAGGTATTGCACACAATGTAATTCACTATTAAGATATACTGATAATGCACCAGTTATTTGTAACCATGTCCCCACACCCAGGGAATAGCAGGGGCTTTGACTTTAAGCCAAGCCAATCCCTAGTAAATATAACTGCCACAGGGTCTTTCCCTGCTGATCACTATTGTCACCAAATAAAGAAGCATTTGAAAAGTAGCGAAACTACTTTTAATTGTTTACAAAAACTTTCAATATGTTCTGCAAAATTTTAATCAGTATTGCTTAAATTTGAATAAAACAGTGGTACCGGTATTTTGAAATGAAAACTGTTACAAACGTGTCAGAAAGAAATTCAGAGATTTATAAAGAAATTATCATGGGTATGAACTAGGATTTCGAGACGTTTCGGCCCCAAAACGTATCGGCCCCAGACGTTTCGTCCCTTTACCAAATCGTCCCCAGAATAAGAACTGTGTTTGAAACCAGTATATTAAAATTTTATAGTTATAATAATCATAAATGATAATTTTCATGAAGTGAAACGCCAATTTCCAAGTACCTTGAAAGATTTATGATACATCTTATATATTTTACGTAAAAGATTAAATCTTTACCAAAACCATCAACGATTAGATACTTGTTGCATTTAATGTTAACTTCAATGTTTATGTATATCTCATAATAAATAGGTACTCATAATTATTTCCATGATATTGAAAAATCTAACACATTTAATTATCAGGTAAGGAAAGTTAGTTGTTCATGCACGTGAAAATCGAAATATCCGGTCATGTAATTTTACAATGAAAAGAAAACAGAAGCCATAATATCTATAATTCTTTTGTCACTGTCAGCATTGTTTGATAAATATATAGCAGGTACATTTATGATTTGGTTTCAGTCTTTCAATCATTTTTATAACATCTAGCAGATCTATCATTATCTAATAACAATAATAACTAAAAATATTATCAGGAGATTATAGCAAACCGTTTTTTAATCTTTTGAAGTTTTCTCTGATATTACTCAGTGTTTGAAATTAGCAGTAGTCCTATAGCCCCAGACTACTAAATTCCACCTCGGGCTACCAACTTTTCACAGTAACAAGCCCGACCAGGCTACTGCATTTTCAGAGGCAATTATTATAAACAACTGTTTTGAACCAATGAATCGTGCTTGTGAAATGTTTTTTGGGCTAGTGAATATTCCAATCTGGTTGTCCGACCAGCGTAGTCCATTCAAATCCTAATTTCTTACACTGATTACTTACATTAATTCTATCTCTATTGTATTTTAATTATGCTTAATGTAATGTAACAAATTAATTATAATTGTTTATATTCCTGTACACTATGCTTCTCAAAAATTTCAGCTTACATGTATTTTTCTATCATTTGTAATTTGCTATAAGTATGTATTTACTCAATTGCAATAAACGTTTGAATTGAATTGAATTAAATTGAATAAAGCTATAGACAGTTAATTAGTTACACCCTGAAAAAAAAATACATAGGCCTGTAGTTTAATTAAGATAAAAAAAATGTTTTCTAAGGAATAATTGTAATTAACTTTCTTAATCAAGAAGTTTTAGTGGTTTGTTTTATAAATTCAGAATTAACCTGCCTTTATTGTTTGTTACACCTTTAAAAACATTAACGTATATCTAAATGGTTCAAAATATCAAAAGATAATAAATAATTATTTAAAGAATTAAAGGGTCATACTTGTTTAATTGTAATTAAATCAATTCGTGTTAATTAATTTAATTAATTGTCTGTACTATATAGCAGGGCCGAAACGTCTCGCGGAAAAGGGCCGAAACGTCCAGGGGCCGATTTTTCTACTGGGGCCGATTTGGTTTGGGGCCGAAACGTCCTGTTTGCTGAACTAGTACCGGGACGAATACATTGAACAGTAAAACAAACTCGAACGCTTTTGACATCGTATATGAGCGGGGAGTGCTGGTTAATCAATGTATCAAACATACTTAGAGAATTATAAATAAGTGATTTAGTGTAAAACTTACGCTGTGAGAGGCCTACAAATGCGTTGGAACTTTTCAATTTCGTAACCGGAAGCTCAACAATTTCCGGAAACGTCGGAACTACAGAAAATGACCTCAATACATAAAATTGATCCAGTACAATTGTTGATATATAACAGGTGACTTTCGCTGCTCACCAACTGTTTGGAGGCCTCAAACTACCAGTCAGTACAATCATAATCAAACTTACGAAGTTCAAGGGTGTATTTGACCCAACTTTCTTTTTCAAAGCGTCAATCGTAACTACTCGGCCTTTTCCGCCACTTCCCAAAGCATCCGGAATTTGGCGAGGGATGCCGAATGTAACAAACTAATTTTTTTCTTTAACGAACATTTTGTGTATTACAGCAATCTTTTTGACATTTTTCCTAATAAACTTCCAAAAGTATAAATCAAAACACAAAGTAAACACAAAATATAAATAAATAAATATAATATTTTACCGCTCCCGCACAATGTGACCAATCAGCAACGACCAGCCTCTTTCTATCATCACAGACGAAAATGGCGGTGCATTCGTCCATATCGCGCAACAATTTTTCGGTTATGAAGTGGACAAACGATGGAAACAGACTTTCTGTACACCATTTAAAACACATAGTTGAACCAAAGAAAGGCTATGATATGTACAACACTGGTGATATAGGGCTGGCGGTGTATCCTGGTTATCCTGGACAATGGGCATTCGTCATCTTGTGTGTTGGTGGTAAGCGTATTTTGTTTTTGGCCCTTTGTATATTAACTTTATTACGAAGTCAAATGGGAAAAAAATAATTGACATGCTCAAATGAATTTTAACTATTGATTGGTTAAAGATTCGACCTCTTGATGTTATGATCACGGGTTTCATTTCGTCCACAGGACGTTTCGAACAGAGACATGCCCCAACCAACATGCACTGTTTACCCGGGGATTCGTGCCCCGTTGTAAGGTTTGGCGAATATTCAGATATATTGAAGTGATGATTATGTCTCCCCCCCCCATATTGAAATAGGGGATTTTATTGTATTATTTCAACAATTATTAAACAAGGTAATGCACAACATAACTCCCATTTTTGCAGATCTATGCATCATAAAAACGCTTGATTTGATAATTACGTCATCGCTTAGTCAAATTTGGAAGTAAAATAGGGATCATTTTTGATCAGGATTTGTGAGATTTTTCTCTCATTTGACAAATTTTGGTTGGATATTTAAAAACCTAGTGAGATATTATACGTTGATGTCAATTTTTTATGTCCCTCCACTTTGTGTGAGGCATATAGTAATCGCACCGTGAGTCTGTCCGTCTGTCTGTGTGTCCGTCCCGAAAAACCTTGTCCGGAGCATATCTCCTATACCACATCGGCTAGGGATACCAAATTTAGTGTGTCACTACATCATGGGATGGCGGAGTGTCGCGTACCATTTTCAAGGTGCTGTGACCTTGACCTTTGACCTCATTTGTAGAAACTCCATGTTTTTGTTTGGGACAAGACCCTGAGGAAGCATTGCTGTTTCACAAACACACAGCTTTCTTGTTTTCAATAGAATGTTAAGTAAGCAAAATCTGCTAAAAATGTTGCAACTATTTTAGGTACATATCTGAAGAATTGTCAAAAAAGATGCAGTATGGTTTGGCCGCCAATCATTCTATACCGAGTCACCGACCTAGCACATAGCTTGGTCCGCGTTTTAGGCATTGTTGTCTTTATTCATTTTTCGAAGTTGGTTAGTGCATGAATTCAATGAGGTGTTTTTTTATGCCCCCGCCATGTAATGGCCGGGGCATATAGTGTTACCCTGTTCCGTCATTCCGTCCTTCCGTCCTTCCGTCCTTCCATCCTTCCGTCCTTCCGTCCTTCCGTCATTCTGTCATTCCGTCATCATCAGTTTCCGTTCATTATCTTAAGAACGGTTGGGCACATTCAACTCAAATTTGACATATGGATATGTCATGAGAAAATACAGGTCAAGTTCGAATTTGGTCATGGTTCGATGATTTTTGGCAGAGTTATGCCCCTTTTACTTTGAAAATAATATGAAATTTCAGTTTCCGTTCATTATCTCAAGAACGGTTGGACACATTCAACTCAAACTTGACATATGGATATGTTATGAGAAAATACAGGTCAAGTTCGAATTTGGTTATGGTTCGATGATTTTTGGCAGAGTTATGCCCCTTTTACTTTGAAAATAATATGAAATTTTCAGTTTCCGTTCATTATCTCCCCAACGGTACAACACAATCAACTCAAACTTGACATATGGATATGTCATGAGAAAATACAGGTCAAGTTCGAATTTGGTCATGGTTCGATGATTTTTGGCAGAGTTATGCCCCTTTTACTTTGAAAATAATATGAAATTTTCAGTTTCCGTTCATTATCTCCCTCAAGGTACAACACATTCAACTCAAACGTGACATATGGATGCGTCAAAGGAATGCACAGGTCAAGTTCAAATTTGGTTATGGTTCAATGATTTTTGGCAGAGTTATGCCCCTTTCACTTTGAAAATAATATGAAATTTACAGTTTCTGTTCATTATCTACCTAACAGTGTTACATATTCAATTTTAATTTGACATATGGATATGTCAAAGGAATGGGCAGGTCAAGTTGGAATTTGGTCATGGTTTGATGGTTTTTTGGCAGAGTTATGTCCCTTTCACTTTGAAAATAATATAGATACATCTTAGGAATAAGCAGTTTAAGTTTGAATTTGGTCATGGTTCAATGATTTTAGACAAACTTATCTTTCCTGAATGTTGGAAAAATTTTGAACTTTCAGTTTCAGCACTCATTCTTTTAGCCATTATTTTGGCTACAAATATGCAATATGCTTTTTCTAAAGGTTAAGACTGAATAATTTCAGTGCCTTGAACGTTGTATGGAAATGGTTTGTGTTAACATTGAAAAGTTTTAAGGGCTTTGAACTTAAAATGAAAAAAAAAATTAATGCACCATCTGAAATTTTGGCTGCATGCGGGGGCATCCGTGGCATGATGACACATTTCTAGTTTTATAAAAGATTGAAATAGGTTTTATTAATTCTTAGATGCATTAAATTAATAGTGCTGTTTTTGAGAATAAACTTTCGTCTCAGGGTCGGAACGTGACTGCATTTGTTATGGCATATATATTATACCATAATATCTTGATCAACTTCGATAGCCATGTAAATCGCTTAAGTCATTACGGAGTTATGGGCCTTGATGAGTTTGTGACAAAGCGGTAAATGGGGGCATCCGTGTTGAAACCTATGGGACACGAATCGACGGTCTGCTATCCGGCTATGGTTAATGTCGCACAATGTTTTAATAGCAGATGTTGGTGATATTCATTTGTAAACTTGCAAGAGCTTGTGGTGTAAATCTTTATACTTATCTTTCTACTTTTCAGAAACAAAAGCTGAAATGCAAAACTGGCTTAGTGATTATATTATGAACTTGGAAGAAACGGATGTCCCAAAATCCCAGAAGAAAAGAAAACAGAGAACACAGCCAAAGTCGCTTAGTGATAAAATGAACTCTGAAGACACAGATGTCCAATCCCAGAAGAAAGAAAAGCAGGGGACAAAGCCAAAGTCAAATCAAGAGCTGGGTGAAGCCACAGACTGGTTGAACAGGAGGAATAGAGACATGGGTGAAGCCACAGACTGGTTGAACAGGAGGAATAGAGACAGGTATGACTTGTTTTTAGCTCGACTTGTAGGGTGTACATCCACACTTTTTAAACAACATCTATGAAACCACTGGATGGAAGTTGACGAAACTTGGCTGGGATATTCCTTGGATGGCCCCCTATCAAAGTTCCATTCCATGAAGAACTCTGGTTGCCATGGCAACCAAAGTGAAAAACTTCGAAAAAACCCTTGGTCAAATTTCAAAATAATTTCACAGAAATGATTCTTGGGTGGACCACTACAAAATTGTTTGAAGAATTTTGATATGTCAAAAATCATGGCCGCCGTGCGGCCAGTTTTCCTTATACAGCTTATTTTTGCTATATAGGAAACTTTGAAATCTTATTCTCCAGAAGTACCGATACAATTTCAAAAATAATGATTTTTGGCAGAGTTATGTCCCTTTTACTTTAAAATAATATGAAATTTTCAGTTTCCGTTCATTATCTCCCAAATGGTACAACACATTCAACTCAAACTTGACATATGGATATGTTTTTTAGGAATGCCCAGGCCAAGTTCGAATTTGGTCATGGTTCAATGATTTTTGGCAGACTAATGCCCCTTTCACTTTGAAAATAATATGAAATTTACAGTTTCTGTTCATTATCTACCCAACAGTGTTACATATTCAACTCAAATTTGACATATGGATATGTCAAAGGAATGGGCAGGTCAAGTTGGAATTTGGTCATGGTTTGATGATTTTTTTGGCAGAGTTATGTCCCTTTCACTTTTAAAATAATATAGATACATCTTAGGAATAAGCAGTTTAAGTTTGAATTTAGTCGTGGTTCAATGCCCCCGGACAAACTTATCTTTCTTGATTATGTTGGAAAAATTTTGAACTTTCAGTTTCAGCACTCATACTTTTGTGGAAATGTATGTAGCCATTATGAAATATGCTATTTTCAAAAGGTTAAGACTGAATAATTTCAGTGCCTTGAACATTGTATGAAAATGGTTTGTGTTAACATTGAAAAGTTTTAAGGCCTTTGAACTTAAAATGAAAAAAATAATTTGTACAAACAAATTTGGACCTAAATATTATAACATCTGAAATTTTGGCTGCATGCTGGGGCATCCGTGTCATGATGACACATTTCTAGTCTTTATACATCTTTATCAAAAAGATTATTTGCTCTGTGTAACCCTTTAATCAGGTTAGCATTATAGGACCATCATGGTCCTCTTGTTTATCTTATTCAAATTAAAGTGTATTATATTTTTTTAGCGCTGTGGCTCAAGATGACAGCAGAATCACTTCTGAAACCCAGCAATCATGCACGCCGCCGACATCAGCATCCACATCGTAAGTAAAACTATTTTAGTGCCGGGTTGCCAGAAGCACAGAAATTTCAGGCCTAACTTATAACTCTAGCTGTCAGTAATTTCTACAAAAAAAAATGACAATGACACTTGTATTTATGAAATTTATAATTAAAAAGAAAACGGAATTCTAGACTTTTTAAGAAGAAGAAAATATTTAAGATTTAACAAGAAAATGCATCAATGCGACAACTTGCTTGATCTTCCGTAAAAATTCTAAAGCCATAGAAAATAAATCTTTAGATTCTCATCTGGGTTTTTGAAAAACAGTGAGACGGTAGGGCGCTTTTTATTTTAAGCTCTACTGGCCATTGGCGAGAAGAGCTTATGGGGTGATTGAGTTGTCCTTCCAGTCGTTAACTTTTGGCCTTCCTTTCCATACTTTACCATATTGTTGATATCAATGAAGGGTTTGGACAAGTTCGAAAACTAGATATTATATACAACAAGTAACAGCAGAGTTATGGCCCTTGATTTAGTTTGAAATACTATATTTTGTCTTGTTAAGAGCGTAGAATTTCATATGATCTTATCAAATGTACACAATCTATTGACATGGTTCCTTTCGAAAATTTGAATTATCGGACCATTGAGTTAGTTGTCTGCCCTTGAATTGCAAAAAAATGTGGTTGAGTCTTGTTAAGAGCCTTCATTTTTTACCCAATCTTAACCAAACCTGTACAGCTGATTGACATTTGTGCAAGCTACAATTTGGTCGGCGAGAAAATATCTGGTCAGCAGTCTTATATTTTACCCAAATGAAATCGAAATTGATTTTCAAAACAATTTTTATGCCCTCTGTTTTAAAGCGATAGCTAGGGCATATAGTTTTTGCCCTGTCTGTCCGTTGCTCCGTCTGTTACCAAAAACTTTAACCTTGCTTAACTTTTGAAAAAAATTGATCCTTGACCTACTTTTAAAATTTGAAAAAACGGCCGTTGTGGGCATTTTCGTGTTTTACAAACACCTTGCTTGTGTTGAAAGTGTATTTTCTACTGTTTGCTTATATAAATATCAAAGATCAGATTCTTCACTTTTGGATGTGGTACTACAATTTATGTATCTAGTACTTATATAAAAAATATCTCGCTTTTTATTCATAGAAGGCGGAGTCTTACAAATATATTCATGAGGGAAAGGGTTAACATAAGTGTTCAATTTAGTATGAAAATTCATGGTAATCTGATGTAGGCAAGCAATATCTCTCGTATTTGTTTATTGCAGGCAAGTTACCCCTGCCAAAAAAAATGAGCCGGAGCAAGTAGAAAGCAGACACATTCTCTCTGCAAAAAAACAGAAGTGCGACCAAACAGAAGGCAGGCGCGTTACCCCTGCCAAAAAACAGAACTGTGATCAAACAGAAGGCAGACACGTTACCCCTGCCAAAAAACAGAAGTGTGACCAAACAGAAGGCAGGCGCGTTACACCTGCCAAAAAACAGAAGTGCGACCAAACAGAAGGCATGCGCGTTACCCCTGCCAAAAAACAGAAGTGTGATCAAACAGAAGGCAGACTCGTTACCCCTACCAAAAAACAGAAGTGCGACCAAACAGAAGGCAGGCGCGTTACACCTGCCAAAAAACAGAAGTGCGACCAAACAGAAGGCAGACACGTTACACCTGCCAAAAAACAGAAGTGCGACCAAACAGAAGGCAGACACGTTACACCTGCCAAAAAACAGAAGTGCGACCAAACAGAAGGAAGGCAGGTTACCCCTACCAAAAAAAAAGAGTGTGAGCACACCGAAGAAATAGTGTATCTCAAAGAGGAAATATATAAGTTGAAACGGCGGGTAAGGAAACTCGAGGACAAGAAGACAGCAAAAGACAAGGAAAGTGATGGGTATTCTAGAGAGGCTCTCACAAAACTTGTCGAGATGGAGAGAAATCCATATACAGCAGCTAAAACTTTGTTAGGATCTCTTTTCACCCAACAGGAATTGCTGAGCCACTCAGTTAGCGGTAAAGCACCTAACTCTACAACTCCAGCAAAGCCCAAATTTGATGGTCAAAAGTATAGCATTTTTGATAATATCATGCGTGAAAAGTTCTCGACGCTAAAGTCAAAGGACATAACTGCGAAGGTTCAAGGTGTTCAAAAGTCCCTTCAGAGAGAAAACTCAAAAAAAGAAACCGTGGTGATTTAAATTAAAAACTTTTGAACACCTTGAACCTTCGACAAAAGTGCCTTCAAAGAGAAAACTCAAAAAATGAAACTGTGGTGATTTAAATTAAAAACTTTTGAACACCTTGAACCTTCGACAAAAGTGCCTTCAGAGAGAAAACTCAAAAATTAAAAACTGACACTGTAGTTTCAAGTTTAGTGTTGTAGTTTTTGTGTTTTAATAGTGTTAAAAGTTTAGTGTTGTAGTTTTTGTGTTTTAATAGTGTTAAACATAATACATTGTATTGCTTTGGTTTAAACTTTGATCTTCACTGCCTATCCAAGACCATAGTGCCATATGTGAACAGCTTGGATCCAGATGAGACAATGAGGGATTCAAGCTGTTTGACATTCGGTCAATATTTTCACCAATATTTCAGAATTACTTTGTTTACACTCTAGGAAGGTGTTGCATTGCTGACCAATATCAACAGGGTGGCAATTATAAACTAGCATTTTTGAACCTGTATGAAAAAGGGTAAATAATTTCATTAGTTGGAAGAATCAAACAAAACTTTTTTGCATTTTGGGAAGGTTTTATTCATCTTTTATAATTTTACATCATCAATACATAATAATGGTATTTAACATCATTAAAAAAACAAGCAAATGATAATCTTATTCAATAATTATTAGATCGTCTGTTTTTCATAGAAAAAAAGTCGAGTTATTGTGATAGCCTTGGCTGCGTCGTCTGCGTCCCAAAATTTTAACCTTACTTCATAACTAAAAAACTGTTCAACATTTTCAAATGAAACTTGGTACACATGTTCCTAGGAACAATGCACATGTCTATACCAAGTAACATAACTCTGGCTTAAATAATTTCTCAATTATGCCCCTTTTTTAACTTAGAAAATCAACACAAAATTTAACTTTACCTCATAACTCATAAACAGTTCAATATATTCAAATGAAATTTGGTACACATGTTCCTAGGAACAATATTCATGTCTATACCATGTCACATAACTCCGGCTTTAATAATTACTCGGTTATGCCCCTTTTTACGACTTAAAAAAAAGAAGATTTAATTGCCATGAACAAGGTTTTAATTTTGTGTACATGTTATTTAATGAAACAAAATACCATGTTTTGTTCAATAAAGACCTCTAAAAGGGCTACTGAATTAATTTGGTATTATGAAACATGAATCGTGGTAATCAGGGCAGCAACATATGACTAATTCTATAAAACATGTCAGTCTTAGGCAATGTTATTTTGAAATGCAATGAAACATGATTTATCATGATCTTTTAAAGAACATGGTCAAACCATGGTTGAACTTGCCACAAGGCTGCATTGAAGTTGACTATGAAACATGTTTGACCATGGTAATATAAAGGACCATGAAACCTGATTTATCCTGGTCTTAAGATCATGGTCAAACCATGGTTGACCATGGTACTAGGGCGGCCATATACCACGTGGCCTATGAATCATGTTTTACCATGGTATTTTTTTATGACCATGGACCAAGGTTAACCATGGTCCCTAGGGACCAAGGTTAACCATGGTCCCCAGGGTGGCCATATACCACGGCATGAAACATGGTCGACCATGGATTAAACATGGTCATTTCGTGGTCAACCATGTTTTTAAAACATGGTCGACCTTGTTTAAAACATGGTCAACCATGTTTTGACCGCGTTCATTTCACAGGGGAGACAGGACATTCTTTAGCAATTGAGAAGAAAAGCTTTTTTTTTTGTCAAGGTCCCTGTGACCTTTGACCCAGTGACCTCAAAATCAATAGGGGTCACCTTATAGTCATGATCAACATCCATGCCAAATATGAAGACTGTGGGTCAAAGGAATCTTAAGTTAATGGGTGGACAAACTTTTTGAAGTAAAAGTCCCTATGACCTTGACCTTTGATCCAGTGACCTCAAAATCAAAAGGGGTCATCTACTAATCATGACTAACCTCCATTCCAAATATGAAGACTGTGGGTCATAGGAATCTTGGGCGGATAAGCTTTTTGAAGTCAAGGACCCTGTGACCTTGACCTTTGACCTGGTGACCTCAACATCAATAGGGGTCATCTACTAATCATGACTAACCTCCATGCCAAATATGAAGACTGTGGGTCAAAGGAATCTTAAGTTATAGGGCGGACAAGCTTTATGAAGTCAAGGCCCCTGTGACCTTGACCTTTGACCTGGTGACCTCAAAGTCAATAGGGGTCATCTACTTTGTAGTAGGCGACACAAAAAGTTCACCAATATTATTTAACTATGACGTCATTTAAAGCATGAGTTATCTTACACCATGGTATTGGATGGGATTTTCTAGCATTGGTGAAAAAGGCAGAAATCCCAGACTGATTTGCAAGAATGAAAGGTTCATTTTTACTCATAATAAATTAGTGTTGCACAAGTTAGTGTTGCATGAAACAACAAGAACTGTCGGAGGACAGTAACGCTCGACTATTCAAAAATTTGTCACAAGGGTGTTTCATTTAGTATAATAATGCTTACCTATATGAATACATAAAATTGTCCGAAAAGGTACAAACCCTTCAAATTTCAATACATTCCCTTCAGTAGTTATGGAGATACCAGCTTACATACAAAAACTTAACCAAGAATTTCTAAGTCGAAAAAGGGGCATAATTATGAAAAAAAGCAAATCAGAGTTATGGGACTTGTGCCAATCATCTTAGATAATCACAGAGAACAAGTGTGTGAAGTTTCAATCCATTCCCTTCAGTAGTTATGGAGATACCAGCTTACATACAAAAACTTAACCACAGGGACGCCGACGCCGACAAATGGGTGACTGCATTAGCTCTATTATTCTGCGAATAGTCGAGCTAAAAATGACTGAAAACATGAAACTTGTTAGGATTTGCTCTCACACAGATAGGTGTGAATTAATGCTTATATTTGCAGACAGTGTTAAGTCAAAAACATGCAAAATTGTAGTAATGCAAAGTTTGTCCAAAGCTTGAATGTATGAGCACTTGTTTTATTCAATTATTTTTAACACTTAGGAAAATTTACCTCAGGATGAAATGGTGAAGAAAACTCAAAAATACAGCACAGATGCCAACTTAGACACATCAAAGATAGTTTATTGATTTTTTATCCGCATGCTTCGTTTTGACTTTGGTTGAACATGCATGATTCCCTATTGGTTAGTTAGTTTGAACATTCAAAACCCAGACATTTATTTCCATATGATTTTTTTAAGACAGTGAATTCTTGCCTTTTCTGGTATCATCTTTATTTTTAACTCGAGCACATTGTATGAAGTTTGAGTGGTAATATTTTGAATTTCAATTGTCCTTTAGTTTTATATGTTTTGTTAACGATGACTCTTCTCAACTTCAGCATGGATAACAAAGGTCTAAAGGACAGAAAATTTTGTTATTATCAATAATATATTTTTAATTACCTGGTGAGGAAGATTGAAAACTTGCTAGATTTGACAAGTACCATACACTGTGAAAGTAATTAACCATTCATTTACTGAGCATGAAAAACTGACTTGACTTACAGTTACCTGTTCATTTAAGTTTGCATTTACCTAAGAATTCAATTGTTGCATGCATGTTTACAGTTTGCATGGATAGTTTTTGGCATTGACAAGTTTTGAAAGAAAGGTAAGGAAATGTTACAGATACCTTTTATGCACACATGAAAAGCAAATGCATTTAAGTCATAACAATGTAGAATTGTATATTATTCATATTCTTTATAGGTAAACTGTGTAGAAGATTAACATGCATGTACTTGCATGCACAGTAATTTGTTACAGTCTGTGAATTTAAGGTTTTTAATGGTTGTCATTAGAGCAACTAGTTCAAGAAAATTTTGTTGTCTAAAGTAAGAAGTGGTTGCTGGACTACTTCTAAATGCATTTGTTGATGTTATGATGAACACTGTGTAAATATCTACAGTAAATATTTAAAAGAAATGGTTGTTCGAATCGAAAAAAATTATTGTTTCAGGCCATAGGACATGTATAAGTGCTAATTTTGCTGAATATTAGTCCGACAACATTGTTAGCAGTGCATGAATGACATACAAATGAAACAATGTACATGTACTAGTGATAGAATTATTTAAAGAGTGCTGTTACAGTACAAAACTTATAAGTTAATCCTGAGTTTGTTTTGCACATCGTTAAAAAGATTTGTCTGGAATGCTATAAAAGTATTAAATTCATTGTAACTTGAATTTTGGCTGAAGTTTCCCTTTTTTCTTTCTGAGACCTTATAATTGTCAGATGTTTCGTTTTTCTTTCCAGCATATCCGTATGATATCTTCAAGATGTCTTGTTTGTACCTTTATTTTAATTTAAATTAAATGTATAATACTTAGATAGATGAATGAGGTGTGTCAAAACTAGGAATTTGGATTATATAATATAATGAAGGTAAGAATTTGCTTTTTTGTATTTCCTTTCACGGGAATATAGAGATTAATGGTGAAACTGAGGGAGGACCAAAGCGAGTGCATCCTCATAGCACCCATCTGGTTAACTCAAACATGGTTCACTACAGTAATGGAACACCATATATTCTCCCAGTGCACACTAATGACTAGGAACACAGAAAGTTCACCCATTACACAAAAAACTGATGTTAATGGTTTGTTGTTTGTCAGGAAAACTTTAAAGGTAAATTGTATCAAAAAGAGCTGCGGACATCATCTTGTGTTCTTGGAGACTTGAAACCCAGAAACAGTACACTACGTTTATTAACAAGAGCTGTCGGTAGGACAGCACGCTCGACTATTCTAAGTGCTTGATAGTAAAAGAGCCTTGATAATGTTAATTTTTTTAAGTTCACAAAAGGGCTAAAAATTTTTATAAATTCATGTTATAGGCCTTAGAGAGAGTCTAATTATACAGTATTGGCTTGACTATTCGGAAGGTAATGTCACAAGGGTGTTTTATTGAGTATAATAATACTTATTACCTATGAATACATAAATTTGACAGAAAAGGTACAAAGGCTTGTTATAAGATGTTTTATCAAGTAAATCACTGCTTTATTATTATGAATGCATAAAATTGTCTCAAAAAAGGCACAAACCCTTCAGTAGTTATTGAGATAACAGCTTACAAGCAAAACTTTACCATGAATTTTTAAGTTGAAAAATGGGAGAAAAATCAGCCTAAATGCAAGACAGAATTATGGATCTTTGTCAGTGACCTACAATTATGACCCTAAATGCATATGTGAAGTTTTAAATAAATATCTTTGATAGTTATTGAGATATGTAAAACTTGCATGTAATCATTAACCAAGAGACTAAGTAGAAACGGGGATATGAATCAGCCTTAATGCAAGATAGAGTTATGGAACTTGGTCAGTGACATACAATTATGACCCTAAGTGCATGTGTAAAGTTTCAAGTAAATATCTTTGAAGACTTTACCAAAATTTGTAAGTTTCAAAGGGGCAAATAATTCTGCATATATTGCAGGCAGAGTTATGCAATTTTGCAAACTGATGTACATTGTTACTATAAAAAAGTATTTTAAATTTCAATTGAATATCTCGAGCAATAATTGAGATATTTGACTTTACAAAAAAACTTTAACCAAAATTTCTAAGTTCCAAAGGGGCATAATTCTGTCGATATTGTAGGCAGAGTTATCAAACTTGTCAATCTGATGTACCTTGTTACTATAAATAAGTAAAATTAAATAATTGAGATATTTGACTTTACAAAAAACTTTAA